CTCAGGAGCACTCCGTATTTTCAGTAGAAAAACCCTGCTCCTAAAGGGCTTTATATTTCTATGGAAAGATTTCTGAAAGCCCAAGTGAGTTTTGAAAAAAGGGATTTAGACTTCTCAAGCATTCAGAAGGTGCTTTACAAAAAGGCATCCGAAGGCTTTAACAAGCATTAAGTCTCCAAGTCCCACTGTGAATAAGAGATTATCTCAGTTTTACAAAAGGGGAAAGAGGTACGGAGGGATGACGGGATTTGCCCTGGCAGATGTAGTAGGTTGGTAGCAGAGGTAGAAGAGAGCCCAAGCGTCACCTCTGCTTTGCTGCGAGGCTTTCACGGATCTGCCATTGCGGCTAGGCAGGGGATCAACTGAGATCACTGCCTACGAGTGCTGTTTTAGCTGAGGGACAGAAATTACACCTAAACTGGTTTAAGTGATCAGAAACTGGTTGAAAGCTGTAACAGAACAAAAGCTCAGTGCACAGAAACCAGTTTCAAAATGGCCCAAACTGGAGGGGCTTTAGTCCCCCACCTCACCCCAGCTCGGTGTGCTACTCACACCCCCTGCTCTTTGCTGGAGCAAGGTGTGGGGCACAGGGCAGGGGTGGGCAACAGCATGAGAGGGTCTGCCCCCCTCCAGGCAAACCCTGGCTGGGATCTGGGGTCTGAGAAGGGCTTTAATGCCCCTTCCCCAGCTCAGTGTGCACGCACCAAGCCCTGCAGGACCAGCCGGAGAGGTGGGAGGTGTTGGCAAAGACCTGGCTTGATCATGACACGTATGTGCTGGAAGTGGAGGAACAGGAGAGGGTTGCAGACAGCTTGAGCTGGTGTGAGCAAAGGAATCAGAGAACTTCATTGACTTTATAAAGCCGAACCTGTAAAAGGTGGGGGACAGGAATACCTACGCAAGGACTTTCCAAAGGGATTACACAAGATGTATGCAAGGCTTTCTCTTATCTTTTTGTTTTCTTCCATTTCATTTTCAGTTAGACTACACGGCGTGCACTCTCACTGTGTTTTACTGGGCTGTATCTTAGCTTCGGCAAAGGTTTGTGGTTGTTCGGTCCTGTGCTTGAGGTTGCAAATTGCTGCGTTCGATACACGCTCGCTTCAGAGAAAGGATTATTCTTGTTCAAGCTTTTATGAATTCAATGCCACTACATTTTTCCCCAACCCCCAACCTTAGTCTGGCAGTGGCTGCCCCCCTCCCCACCCCCTCTTTCTGGCTTGAGCCACTGCAAGCATGTGGCTGCATTCCCTGAATCAAAAGTGAAGGTCTGTTCATTTGCTAATCAGTTCAATCTCTGCAGTTTAGACTAACCTACAACGATTGAATCGATTCAGCCTCGGGCTTTTTGACTGTCTGTACTTAGCCTGACTGTCTCTGTGCTGTCCTCTCAGAGCACCTGGAGGGGTGAACTCAAGTTCACAAAAGTTTGTGCTCTGTATATATCTTATTCAGTCGCCTAGTACGTGCGGGTCTACCCTGCCTTCATTTTACCGCTGTCCCTCAGTCTGCATGCATCCGAGGATAGTCTCTTATTTTCAGTTTGGGCTGGGGCAAGGAGGGACTGTCTATTTGTCGTGTTTGTACAGCACCTTGCACAATAGGGTTCCAGTGCCTGAAGGGCCCTCTAGCTTCTACAGAAACACAAGTAATAAATAGCAGCAAAACTCACTACGGGGTGAAATATAGTGGGGCAGAACATTGCCAAATAAAATAAATTCTCTCCAAATGTGCATTTTGTCAGAGCTGAAGCATTTTGCAGTGAGCGTATCGACGTTGACCCAGATTTTGTTAAGATGGTGGTTGAGGTCCTCTGCGCTCCGGTCACTACTGATAATAAGAGAGAGAGAGAGAGAGAGAAAGGCCCAAATTGAAAATCCAAGCTGTTCTGATCCAAGAAAGCCCAGGCGGCCTGACGCCGCTCCATCTTGTGAAACCATTCCTAAAGCTTGCTTTCATTTTAAGGCAGGGTGAGCACACATTTCAAACCCTCGTCACAAGATAAACCCAGATTTTTCAAGTAGGAATCCACAGTTGGGGCCTTTCTGAGCTCTTTGCAACAGAAAATCTGCTCTATTATTTTTCTGTACTTAATAAAAGAGGAAAAAATTAAGAGCTGGCATTTTCCACAGGGGGGGGAGCTTGAATCTATCCAGGTGTGCCTTGAGTCTAAAAACATTGGGTCCACTGGCCTTGTAGCTAATCTCATTTCCAGTATTCAACCTTGTTTGCCGTGCCATTTATTTGCTAATTGGACCGTGCCCAGCTGAGGCTGTAAAATCTGGCAGGTCATTTTGCTTCGGTATCGCTTTCTGGTTCTCATGTGTTTGGGTCTCCGAGGGCCCTGCCACGTGTTCAAAGTAAAGCTGGACAGAAACCACCTATAAAGTTATTACACATTTTCAAGCACTAACTGGGCATGTCTACATGTGTGCATTTACTGTGCAGTAACCAAAATTACTGTGCAGTACGGGCACGCATCTACACATGCACACCCTTACTGTGCAGTAAATATGGCGATTTACACTGATTTGAGTGTAAATTTGAGACCTGCATCATGCAGGTCTCAAATTTACGCCTGATTAGTTACTGCACAGTAGCACACATATAGATGCCTTACTGTACAGTAACAATGTATATGTGGGCTGACTTGGGACTAACTTTAGTCCCAAGTCAGTCTGCACACAGCATTAATTCACACATGTAGACGTTGGCCTATTTCTGCTTACTGCACAGTAACTCCCAATCTGTAGCTGGTTGGCTCTTTTTATAGCTGGATGGAGATTTTCATGGCATGATCATTACGTTTCCCATGCAGCCGGATTTAATTTATTGTGCGATTAACTGGTTAATTGTGTGATAACTACTTTGCACATGTGGCCGGTCTCACTTTGCACATGTGGCCAGTCTGCATGTCTTGCACAATTAACCAGTAAGTTGCATGATGTCTGTAACGCGTTGCAGGGGCCCGACACTGCAGGGAACATAACGCCAAAAACAAACTCCCAAAGTTCCTCAATGAAATGGGAAAAATAAAAGAGAGCAAGCAAAGAGAAATGCTTTTGTTTAACCAAGTCTGAGTTCTGGTCTTGGCTCTGCTGGTTGGAGCTCCCTTGATGTCGTACTGCAGAAATCTCGGAGCTGAAAGTCCCCTGGTTCTGAATCCACTCCCGGCACAAAGAGCAGAGATTCAGCAGGTGCCCGCACTATGGCAGGAGACAGCGAGGGAACATTTCAGGGGCAAACTGGTCTGGTATCAACTGGCTCTGACCTTCTCAGTCTCTCCTCCACAGGAGAACCAAAGCAGCTCACTTCTTCCTCTATGGGCATGTCTACACACGTTCATTAATACACCTTAGATACTGCGTGTTTTGTGTACTACTTCCTTAATGAAGGACTAACTAAATGCGTGGTACCTAAAGTTACCGAATGGTTTTTTCATGGTGCTTTCTGTGCTTTAGCGTAATAACACTGTGCAGTAGGCTATTAGCACGGTTTTTGCCATGATATGCTACTGTGCAGTATAATTAGGCTAATGCGCAGTAAGCGTCTTGTGTAGATGCACCTTATAGGTTCCGTGTAAGTGATGTCCCTACACCCTTCCCCTAAGGGTCGCACTGCTCTCTGCTGCAAGGCTTGCTTTTGCCTGAAGAAAGTAAGATAAAAACAAGGGAGGAAAAGAAGAAATTCCTGCTGCGCAGGCCTCCTATGTGCCCAGGGACCATCCTGCTACTCAGTCATGTGCAACCACAGCCTGAGAGGTCCAGAAATACCACCTCCACCCAATGCATACAAATACACACACACCAATTTCCACCTGGGTGTGCGAACATACAGCAAGCAAAGCCCGTCCCCAACGTTGCATCCCAAAGTTGGAGGAATGGATCGGTCTATATAGCAATGAGGGTGAGACAACCCAATGCCCATGGCTCCAGGTGAAGATGCAGATGCCTACAAGCGGCGGTGACGGTACAACCGCCCATAAAGCCACGGTGACACCAGGAAAGGAGATGCAAAGCCTTCAGCTCCAGAGTGGGGCTGGCTAGGGGAGCAGCTTGAGGGACCACTTCTTTTTATCTTGCTGGGATCCTATGACCGCAGCTGACTTCCTGCCCCTCGGACAGGGAGCTGGACTTGATGGTCTCCCGAGGTCCCTTCCAGCCCTAACGTCTATGAAATCTATGAACCCTGAAGAGCAGCCTTCACCCTATTTCTCAGCAGATGAGCAGGCATTGATGGCAGAGATAACTAAAGCATGTTCATGTCCAGTCCTGATCACCAGACCTCCCTCCACTAAAATACCAGGGGGAGGTTTAAGGCAAAAAAATGAAAATAACCCACTGGAAACTATTTTTCATCCTGCTGAGAGACACAGAGTCTGTCCTAAATGGTTCCTAAGCACCAATAATTAAGACAACCTGTTGGAACAATTCAAGTAGCTACATGATGGATGGGGCTTGTCTCTCTGCCCAAGTCACAGCTCCAGGATCACGCTGGGCAATGGGGCACGCTACCAGTTGCAGAGCTGCCAGCTTGGGAAGCCTTCAAAGCTAGTTTGATCGTTATCCCTCAGAGGCAGCTTCTTAAGTGTCCACTTCCAGGCTGGGGGCTCAGCTGCATTCACTTATACAAGAGAGCAGAAGGGTTCCCTCCAGCACCCAAATTACTAGGCAAAGGGCTGTGGCTTGCGTTAGATTAGCGCTTCGTGGTGGTCCCTCCTAAACTTAAAAGCAATTGAAGGAGTGGTGGTTTTGGAAAGGGTAGACTCTACCTGGCCACGATGCAGGAGGCTGGACCAAATGACCTCACCGGGAAAGCTCCTCCAAACCACATGAACTGACTTGTCCGTGGTTCTGGTGGCCTGAGCCCTTAATTCGGTGCGATGGAGGAATGCTTTGCCCCGTGCGAGCTGACTCAGCTGCTTTGCAGCCATTCCTCCGCGGTCCTTCAGTCCTCTTGCTGTGGTTGACATTAAAGGCTTCTCTCTATGGTTTCAACAGATCGAGGCTGAAGACCAAGTCCTGGCAACTTTCTGCGGCCGGGAGACGACCGACACGGAGCAGGCCCCCGGGCAGCAAGCCATTCTGTCCCCTGGCGCCTACATGGGGCTCACGTTTAGATCCGACTTCTCCAACGAGGAACGCTTCACGGGCTTCGAGGCCCATTACACAGCGGTGGGTAAGTACCGTATCGCAGCAAATGTGCAGACCTCACAGCCCAAGCTGGGCCGTGGCCACTCAGCCCCCCAGAGCACAGGGGAGACCAAAGGAAAAGACTCGAAAAAAAGCAGGCTTCTTTTCCCTGAGCTAAAAGAGGAGCTCTCTCAGAGGTAAGCAGTCTACAGCAGACTGGTTGCCCAGGCCAGTTGCATCTTATAGAGGTCAGTGGTGCAAATACTCAATACAGCAATCATCACTGGAGACACTGAGCATTACCAGAGGCAGGGTATGCTGGATAACTGCAAATGCAGGCTTGTTACCTGGGGCCATTTTCAGAGCAGCGGGATGCTCCATTCCCAGTGCCGCAGGGTTTGGGCGTATAGCAGCAGGCTCTGATTTCTGCTCCCCTTTCTGGTGTCCTGCAGAGACCTGGCAGGTCACACGCAGCACCTCCCTGCCCCAGTTGCATGGCAGACGATTGCAAACATGCTCACGTTCTTTCCTAACCAGTGACTTTCCCTGGTAGGGTTATCCCAAGGGACTGTGAGTGGAAGGGGCCTGCTGCTACAGCACATGCACCACGTCTGCTGGATGGCAGGGAATCCAAGGGTCTCCAGTCCTGCAACCTGCCTCCCCTCAGTAGAGCACTGATTCCCCTAGCAGGCCAGCCTGCCCATGCCCCTCACAAATCAGACGGCATCGCCGTGCTAGCCCGTGACGAGATGGCCAGGTGTGGCATTTCTGCTTTGGCATGAGATCAGGCTGCAAATGCTCTGACCCCGGTTCCTCCTCGCAGACGTGGACGAGTGCCTGGAGAAGAGCGATGAGGAGCTGGCCTGTGACCACTACTGCCACAATTACATCGGGGGGTACTACTGCTCCTGCCGCTTCGGCTACATCCTGCACTCGGACAACCGCACCTGCAAAGGTACAGGCTGGAGGGCAATGTGGGTCTGCTCCCTCTCCGAGCCCGCCTGCCTGGGACCTGAGAGCCCGGGGACCATTGCACGCACAGGCCCTGCACTAAAATGATGCCCCAAAGAATGCATCGTCTTGGCCCTGATCCTGCAACAGGATCCTGCAGCCCCTTGAGGGCTGGGATAATGGATCCTCGCACGTCTAGTTATATCAGCCCTACCTCCACCTCTGCGTGTGAGATGGCTGGAGCAGACCTAGGGGCTGCTACAGCCCTGGGCACGTCACAAAACTCTGAAGAGCCGCTCAGGGGAGCAGAGGGCTTCTTCCCTCCTCCATCATTTACAGTGCTTGTGCTCAGGCCATGCAGAGGTTGCAGCGGTTTCAGGTGGCTCCCAGGGGTATGACATCAGCATGATGTCATCAGCGCCATTCCTGATGCACGCTACCACGGGGGCGCATCAGAACTGCCTGGGCATGCTTTGCTGGTGGCAGAGTCTAGGATGCTCTGGGGTGAGATGGCAAGGGGCTGGGAACAGGAGGCTCCTTCTCAGGGCAAGTGCCAGCCAAGGAGGGCTTTAAACCATGTGTGAGGTCCGGCTGGACCCTGACCGCGCCGGCCGTGTTGCAGTGGAGTGCAGCGACAACCTCTTCACCCAGAGGAGCGGGGTGATCACCAGCGCTGACTTTCCCAACCCGTACCCCAAGAGCTCCGACTGCCTGTACCGTGTCGAGCTGGAGGATGGCTTCTTCATCACCCTGCAGTTCGAGGACAGCATCGACATCGAGGACCATCCCGAGGTCTCCTGCCCTTATGACTACATCAAGGTGAGCCGGCTGGGTTGGCAGAGGCAGGGTATGGACCCCCACTCTGGGCTCTCTCACTCTGTCTCGTTGGACCAGCCATAGTCCCATGACTGCTGTCCTTCAGGGATACAACAAAGCCAGCATGAGAGGAGCCTGCTTATAGCAGCTCCATCCCTTCTGATTTCCATGCTAGGACCATGTGCTTCATGAAATCTCTATTTCTCCAAACTTTCCAGGGCTTCACATGCGAGCAGCGCTTTCCTGCTGCATTGCTCTCTGGGCTGCATCTTGGCCACAGAGACTTGGAAGGGGCTCCTAAGGCCATCAAGCCCCGTCCTCTGCCTTTGCAGGCAGTCTTTTAGCCAGAGGCCTAAAAAATTGCTCACTTCAATCCCTCACCCATCACAGCCACGCATCTTACAAACCCAAACCACCCTGCAGCACGCCGCAGCTCAAAAGCAGGGGGAAAGGGCCCTGCCACCAGGAAAGCAGATGCCCAGAAGATCCTAGGAAGAGGAACATGGTCCTCATTACCGAGGGAGGCAGAGCCAGTCTGGCTGGGGGGTGCATGCCTTCCCAACCCCAAATCTGATGTCCGCATCTCCTATGCCCAGGTCCTCCAAGCAGGAGATGCCCTTCAGTGCCCTCTTTGCAAGCAAAAAGGCCAAGTTTTGTAAAGTTTGGAGGTGGATAAAGAACAGTAGGAGACAAGGGAGAGAAAGACCCCTTTCCCCTCTTACAAAGGGCCCAAGACATGTTTTATTTCCATGAAGTCTAGGGTAGGGCCAGCCTGTCAACCAGCCACGGGGTGTGGGGAGCCCTCATTGCTTCCTAAAGCGATCTCTTCTGCTTCCTTGTGGCAGATTAAAGCCGGCCCTCTGGAGTTCGGGCCTTTCTGTGGGGAAAAATCCCCGGGACGTATCGAAACACAGACCAACAGCGTCCAGATCCTGTTCCACAGCGACAACTCGGGCGAGAACCGAGGGTGGAAGCTATCGTACGCGGCCACCGGTAATGCGCTCTGCTCCTTTCCCTTCCCTGCACCCACGGGGGTTGGCAAACCGGGTAGATGGGGATTGATGGTGCATCTGGTCCTGAGACTCCAGGAGAAGGAGGGTGTAGGATGCACATAGTGAACCTAACGGTGCAATTTCATTCTGGGGGGGAGAAAGCTACCTCGATGGACCTGGCGGATAGCAGCCGTACCGAGCCCTGCCTGCCACCGTGCCAGGCTCTGGGCCACTGGGAGAATCAGGCTGTTCATATTAAGTCCCAAGGAGTGAGTCCCGAGTCCTAGCTTCATCCAAAGTGGGCTGGGAATGAAGCAGTCCCAGCAGGGAGGCAAAGCCTCCCCAGAGACAGCTCAGGGTGGGAAGGGGACCCCCCGGTTCAAGGTTCGTGACCCCCTTGAGGTCCCCTTCAGTAGCACCGATAGCCATGGCCCCTGTGCCGTTTTGCACAGAGTCATAGCTCAAGGAGAAGCAGCAGATAGCATTACCCCAATAAAGAGCCTTGGGAACAGGCCTGCCGTGGCTGGCTCCACCCAGGCCTCTGTCCCGTTAGCTGGCTGCCATTTGAATTTGCATTTTTTTTCTCCCCTCTTGCCAAGGGAACCCGTGCCCTCTCGTGCAGCCTCCCATCAATGGGAAGATCGACCCCTCGCAGGCACGCTACACCTTTAAGGACCAGGTGGTCATCAGCTGCAACCCGGGATACAAAGTGCTAAAGGTACAGGGACTGCTCGCCTCGATCTCTGGGGCTGGGGCAGACTCTCTTAAATCCATTGGAGTGGGCTCACGTGAAGGCCCCCCATGTCCGTGCTCTCATGCCATAGGCACGTGCTGAATTAGGGAGGAGCACGATGGTTTGTGGTGATGGGAAGCTCTCCGTGGTACCCGGTGAAGCTGGCCAGGCATGGCCAGATGCATAAAATCATGGACAATGAGGGTTGGAAGGGACATCTAGTCCAACCCCCTGCTCCAAGCAGGACCAGCCCAACTACATCATCCCAGTCCTTGCCATCGGGTGCTACCCCCATGCTTTGTAAGGCTCACAAAGGAGCTGCCCAGTCATTCATTGCTGGGACCGCTCCACTGAAGCCCATTGCCAGGCCAGCAGAGAACGCAGCCCTGCTTCACCCGCTTCGTTCAGACCTAAGGAGACCCTCCCTCCTCCCACCGCCTTCCCTAGGACAGCAGGTACCTCTGTGCTCGAGAGGGGCAAAGTAACCCAAAGGAGAGCCCTGCCTGCCCTGCTAGAGACCACGCACGGGAACAGCCTACACTTGACGCCATAGACCTTCCCCTGCAAAGACAGCGGAGGTGGAGTGGAACGACTCTTCCCCAAACCACCTGCCTAGTGTCTCACACCAGCCAGCGAGCAAACAGAGGCAAGGCTTGGCTTTGCACAAGACTAAGAGGAGCAGAGGGGCCTTCTGGAGAGCCTCTGCTCAGCTCCTCTGTGGTCTTGAACCCCAGGGAAATCTCCCTAGCCAGCTGTATGCCACCCATCCAACTCGGTGACCATGGCTGTGGCTTCCAACTTGAGAGCCTGTAAAGGAAACTATTAACTTTGCAAGTGAAGTAAGGCTGGTATTTTGAGTGGTGACCTCCAGGAAGTACCCAGCAGGTAGGGATCATCCACGAAGTGGCCCTAGACTCAGCACTCAACCTCCCCTTGGGCCTATCTACTGCCATCCCAGACAGGCTGTCTCTGCTGTAAGGGGTAGGGTGGTCCCGAGGCAGGGGTGACGATGTCTTTCCCTCTTCCCTTCTGCGCAGGATGATGTGGAGAGTGACACCTTCCAAATCGAGTGCCTGAAGGATGGGACGTGGAGCAACAAGGTCCCCATCTGCAAAAGTAAGAAGCCCCTCTCTCCCTTCCCAGTACCCTCTACCTGGGGGTAACAGCCCCAGTGCTGAGCTCCGGGCGGGGTTGTACAGATGTCCCTGCAAAACGATGTTGGCCGTTTCTCCTAGAGCACAACAGGGTTTGTGCCAAAGATGACAGGTCGGGTATTTGTTCTTCCTGATGCAACTGGATAAGTGCAACCTGCTTTCCCTGTCTCCCTCTTCAAACAAGCACTGCCCTGGCTCTGGGACAGTGTCTCCAAGCAGACGGATAAATGGCGTCATCCTCTGCATTAGCTTGCACCCCATCATAAAGGGCCTGGTCCCCTAGTGCAAGAACGCACGTCACGGAAGTATCACGACAAAACAAAAGTCAGCTTATGGGCTTCTTCTTGGGGCTGGTGGGGCCGAGCTACCAAATGCTGATATGGATTTGAACCCACCTATGCCAAGGGTATGTTTGGAGCTGATGGTGGGGCTTCAAACTACTATAGTAACAAGGCCCATGTGGGATATCTGGACCTGGAACTGAACTGCTCTTTGGTTTTAGGGTTGCTCAGACCCAGAGGTCTGGGTTGGTCACAAGTGCAGCCAAAACCAAGGAATACAGACAGCAGCAAAAGGAGTGAGCAAAATTGGCCTGATGTTTAAAAAAACCACGTTGATTCGTTGCTGCTGAAGGTTGATTCTGGGATGTTGCACAGCTCCAATGGGCTTTAGGCAGAGCTACTTCTAATGCAGGAATGACATCTCTCGAGTGCGGGCACCCCTTTCATGTCCCTAGGGCATCCAGCCTGTGTGCTCCAGTGTTTCCCCTGGGCTGGAGGGGTGGAGAAGCAGAGATAGGCATGGATGGCCAAGAAAGCTGATGGAGCAACAGGTCAGAATTGAAAGCAGGCCACCAGAGAAAATGAACAACCCAAGCGAAGGTTGCTCGCCTGGGGATTGCAGAACAGGATGAGGTGCCAGCTTGCATAGGGAGCTAAGGGCATCCCTTCACCTCCCCTCTGCCTCCTGTTTGGGAGAGGGACCCTAAATCACATGAGCACGGACAGGGTTGAGACAGCCATCAGATCTCAACCCCCTGAACGTGGGCAGAGTTCAGACCCAGGTCCTGATGCCAACTTCCCAGCTGGGATCTATCCCCTGAACCGATCCAACCTGGGACAATGGATCCAACCCCTGTGTCCTGGACGCTGCTCCCTCTGCTCACACACGCACACAACAGCAGGTACCTCTAGGCAAAAGTGCCCTGAGTCTGCTTTCCTGCCAGCTTCAGCTGCTTAAGGCCAGAGCTGTGCATGTTGTCACCTCTCTTACACCTGGGCATGGAGAATGGCTGGGAGGAATTGGAGCTTTTCTGGCTGGAGATTCCCTGCTCTGCAACCTCCTCCATTGCAGGTGGATCCTTGTTTTATAACAATAATACATACAAGCAAGGGGTAACTTGTACTTGCAAAGCTCCCTGGACATAGCAATTGCAATGATGTCAGAAATGCCACATACTCTCCCATCCTCTACTTGTGCCTTGGAAGCACATGGGACATGCACTGCTACAAATCCCCCGCAGATCTTGAGTTTCTAACTTATCTATTACTAAAGAAATCTCTTCCTCCAGAGCTTGAACAAAGACCAAATAAGAATGGATGCCGGTCGGACATTTTTCTTAGTAAACGTTTTGCACCAAAAAATGGGGGTTTGAACTGAAAAAAAACCCCAAAACAAGCCACTTTGGGGAAAGTGATATCCAGGAGCACAGATAAGATGATCACTTAGGTCCCCTGAGACGTTATCGTCTATTCACTGAAATTTTCAGGGTTTGTCAAAAAAACGAAGCCCCTCCAAATGACCAATCAAAAAACGTCTCTTAAGGGGGAAAAAAGCTGCAAAAAAAAAATGAAAACATTTTTGGTTTTTCCAATTTTTTTTGCAGACAAAACCATTTTCAACCCAGCTGTAATAAGAAAAAAACAGGTTGATATTGGGCCAATGCAAAGAGTTTCTTTATAGTAGAAGGTGTGGGTGGCTATGTGCCACTGCAGGATGGATGTTGGCTGGGTCCGGTAGAAGAAAAGGGGTCTCCACCAGGACTGGGATAAGGGGGCATGGTGTTGGCTCCACTGGAAGGTGTCGTACTGTTAATACGGTGTTTAACACGATCAGACCCCTCTGCGCTGTCTCCGGAGCCCAGCCTGCTCTCCGCGTATAACCCTTGGATGCTTGCTGAATTGATCCCCGTTCCTGGTGTTATGGGGGCATGTTTCCTGCATGGATTCTCTCTGCTCAGCTGTTAATCCTGCTCTCTCTTTCTCTCTCTCTGCTTTCCTCCCTTCCCTTTCCCCTTCTGCCTTCGGCGCAGCTGCAGAAACAGCCGAGAACAAGACAGAGGGAAGAGCTGAGTCGGACCAAGTGACGGCATGACCACCTCTTAGAAGGGGCAGACTGTCTCTTAGACATATCAGGGACTCTCTAGGCTGCAAGGCTTATTCCCCGTGCTCTCCCCCCAGCCTTTTCCAATCTTGGAGCGGGGGGGGATCTCCTTTGGGGAGATACATCACTGCTGTAGATTCAATGCTGGACCCCCGTTAACCCCAACCTACCTGGCACACTCCGACTGAAAGGATCCCACTCCCATATCCCAGGAAAAGCACAACCCACTTGCACCCCAGGCTGCTGCCCCGGGGACAGGGCACTCTGGCAGGTGTCTGCACTGCGCCTCGGAGACCCAGCAATGAAAACCGTGATGCAAGGAGCAGCTGCTTTGTCTGTGCTTTGTGGTTTGAAAATAACCCTTCATGGCCTTGCTTTCCCCCTCCTCCTCTGGGCCAGGCTGGTCAGTCTAAGAATGAGAACTGTTCTTTGCTCCCTTTCAGTCTCTCAGTGCAAAATATCCAGCCTCGTTCCCTGCGTCCTGGTGCATGTGAACCCCCCCATCTCTTTGGGACTGACAAGTGCTTGCAAGACAGACCTGCAAGGAAATCTGTCCATCTGGGCTCGCCCCTTCAGCATGCCTCCCCAGCTCTGCTGCTGCCTCTGCCAAGCTGCTCCCTTCAACCAGAGCTGCTGTTCATGAGCCTTTCCCATATAACACACCGTCCTTTTAGCCTGAAGAGTAAGTCACAGAAAACAGCTAGAAAGGAGGAGCCACCACCTTTAACATCAATGGCTTGTCAGGGATTTGAGCAGGGTGGAGGAGGATTGCACTTAGGCACTGATTGCCAAGGGCGCTCGTACATATGACAATGTCACAATGCACACACGACAAAAGTTTCCCTTTATGTGACTTAATGGCATCAAGCATTACACGTACCTGAGTATGAGGGCTTTTAAATGAGTTGGCATCATTGCAAACTAAACTATATCCCTATGTGGTTTAGCTTGCAATGCTGCAATTTGGAACATTGAGGCCATTAGTCAGCTCCCCCCCTCCCTCCCTGCCCCACCGCCCGGCCACAGGACAGGCGGGCAGGCTCCGCGGGGGAAAAGGATTGGGCCCCTCATGGCTTCTGCCTTCAACAGGGGCCTGGACAATCACATGTGTGCAGTGACAGGGTAGGTTTCAATTTAAAACTCACTGTTTCAATTTGGGGGGCATAGAATACAACCTGAAGGACTAAAGCGCCGTCACATGTACAAGCGCCCTCAGATGCCTAATAGGTAGAATAGGATGCGGCTCCTTGTAGCATTATTTTCCAGGGCCAGAGATTAGTCTCTGAACTTAAAAATGGAAAGAGCAAGGCTGATAGCATGTTACTGGGGACTTGGCTGGAGGAACAGATGATGGAGCAAGCTAGGGAAGGGGTGGAGGGTCGCAGAAGGGAAGGCATGGAGGAAGGAAGGCTAGAAGGAAGTGACGGAGCATTGCAGTGGGGAGAGAGGGGATGAAGAAAGGATCTTGGAGAAGAGAGCCAGGCCATTGGGGAAGTACACACACATACACATATGCATACAATTACACATCCGCATCCACATCCACATACAGTGAACCAAAGGCCAGCAATGTTATTGGAAACCTCTCTCTTGACTTCAACTGGCTTTGGATAGGGCCCATAGAGAAGGGAGCTAAGGGGAAAGGGTTGCCAAGCTTTGGCCAGTGATGGCCTGAGACAGATCTTCAAGAGTTAGCGTTGACAGCCAGGGCGGTGAGGATGGATGTCGGAGGAGACTGTGAGGGTCCACAGCAGCTTTGCAGCACGAGACAGGAGCTTATAGCCCAGAGAAAAAGATGCCTGGGGAGAAAAGGCCTGAGAAACGGAGCAGTTGGCAGCAGAAGGAAGAGCAAGGAGGTCACGTCTGGGCCTGAAAGCAAGGGAGCCCCAAGAGCAAGCGTGGGTCCTGGGACCAGAGATAGGGAAGAGTCAGGGGCAGGGAGCTGGGCCTGATGGTGGAGGGGGGTCAGAACAAGGAGCCCAGACTGAGGCACCCCACCCATAATATAACACACGTTCAAGCCTGCAGGTACGGGGACTTGGCCAGAGAGAACAGCATGGCCTGACAAGACAGCCTGGATCCCTAGAAAGAGAGGCCGAGAGATGGGACCTGGTGAACCCAGTGCTTCCCCACTGGGAGTTGACAGAGGGGTGGGAGGCTGGGGGACAGGGGCAGAAGAAGGGGCCTGACAAGAGACCCCCATCCCCAGAGGCCCCTTCTAGTGCAGCCCATCCAGCTTGGGAAAGAGCTAAGAACAGGGTCCATTCAGCACTGGGGAGGCCTCCCTGGGAGTACCGTGTCCAGCTTTGGGCATCACAGATCCAGAAAGATGTGGACGCACAGGCAAGAGTCCCATGGAGAGCACCCGGGAGGGTCAGCGGTCTGGGAAACACAACATAGAAGCAAAGTTTACAAGAACGGGGAGCTTTTAATGTAGAAAAAAAAGGAAAACCAGGGTGGGATTTAATGACAGCCTTCAGATACTTGAAGGGTGGTGACCAAGAGGATGCAATGGATTCATCTTGATTGTTTTATCCCCTCCAGAAGCCAGGAGCTTAAACGGCAACGAGGAAAATGCGGGTTGGGTATTAGAAAGAACTTGCTCTGTGTGGGGGTGCTCAAGCAGGCGGCCTGTGCAATCGCCATCCTTGGAAGGGTATAAGAGCAGCTGGGATGGACACTGGGCTGGGATGGTTTAGATGGCCATGATCCTGCCTTGAGCAAAAAGTGGGGCAAGATGACCTTGTGAGGGTCCTGCGAGCCGCCCTTTCCTACGAGCCCCCCAAAGAGTACATCTAGTGGTGGCATGAGAGCAAAAGGGTTTGGGTTTTGTTCTCTGAGTCATGCCAGCTGAACCCATCCTCGCAGCCTTGTCACACCCAGGGGCACTCACTGAAGGTTTCCAAGGCTTCCCGCAGCCCCTGAGCACAGTCTCTTCCAAGCGCTCCTTCCCCTGCTCTTTAGTGGACAGACGGAGCAAGAGGCAGAGGTCACTTGCAGGTGGGTCTTTCTCCAAGTACCATAATGATGCTCGGTGACCACTCAGCATCCCCCAGCAACACGTATCCCCTGCCTGTCGGTGCCAAGAAGAATCCCTGATTTCAATGACTGGGACAGAACGGGTGGGGACAGGGAGAGGCAAAACGAGCTGTGTATCGGATGCCCGTAAACTGAAGAAGCCCAAGGAGCCCCCTGAGAGTGAAGGCCTGCCTGCAGGGAGACATCTGGATGACAGAAACCGCTCCCTCTTGCTCCCCGAGACATTATTCCTCACCGGCACTGCAAACAGACCGCTGCATGGAAAGCCAAATGCATTCCCATCAGCCTTTTGGCCCCCGTGAACACCAGGCAGGGGCTGCGACCGCCCAGGTGACAGCCCTGATCCCAAAGATCTCATGCCCTCTTCTCTGATCCCAAAGATCCCAAAGATCCCAGCCCCCTTCTCTGAGCCACTTCGGCATTGAACGGCTGAGAAAATGGTGGGGCCTGGGGGAACGGCCTGAGCAAGTCTCTATCTGCCTTAGCAGCTACCCCAGCAGCAGCTGCTCCACAATGCCCTGGAGATCCAGTTCATCACCATCTCATCATAACAGGGTGCCTCTTTTAAGTGGGCTCAGCCTAAAATCACCATTTTTAAGGTGCATTAAAGGCATGTGTCTACACGTGCATGCCCTTAGTGCACCTTAACAATGGCAGTTTAAGGTTATGTGAGCCTAAATTTGATACATGCCTAAAACAGGTATCCAATTTTGGCGGAAATAACTAAGTCGCATTAGCACACATGTAGACGAGCTAATGCGCATTAACATGTGCGTCAATGGATACACAGTGTGTTAATGCGATTAGCATGTCTGCATGTGTACTAAGGCAACTTAGCTGTTCGCGCCTAAATTTAATGTGCTGTAATGCGCATTAGCGTGTCTACATGTGTGCTAAATCACTTTAACGTGCCTTAAGCAAAGGCTCATGAAGTTTAGGTGCGCATAAATACACGTGTAGACACGCCCACGGGTATGCACTAATTAGCTCAAACAGCAGCGATGCATCCACTTGGCTGGTTGCAATCTGTGCAGGGCTAACAACGCGCTGAGAGAAACAGGCGGCCACACCGCGCCTGCCCTGCAAGCCGAGGTACAATGTGAGTGATGCCCCTGCCGCAACTCCCAAATTCTCTGCTTCAAGGGACATTTTAAATTCCAGCGACCTGGCCGATCTGCCAGAGAGGGAGAAGGGCTACGGCTGGGGCTCCAGCTACTCGTGTCAGTGAGATTCAGATGTGGGCTATAGCTGTAGCTAGTGCCCCTCTCTCTCAAGGGGGACTCTGCAGCTCAGCTGCTCTCCCTGGGGCTGGGCTGGCTCCAGCGCCAGCATTTGAGCTCACTTTTCAATGGGAACACCTTACTGCCTGGCCTGGTGCTTGCTCCGGCAGTACCGCTGTTTCCTCCATGCCCGGCAGGAGCTCCTTAATTCACACCTGACTAGTCTAGACATTTCTTCCCCTAACAACCCAGCTACCAGGCAGAAAACGACCATCCTGGGTCATGCCCTGTTGTTAAATCAGTGTCTACCTCGTCCCAAGCGCAACGGGAATTTCAGCTCACTTGCTGGCAATGGCAAAATCAGCATCAATTAGTCTGAGGCCCTGAACATGGGGACTCCTGAGACCCAAATCACAACCAAGATCCTTCAACTGCTGTGCTTGGCCCAGGCAGAGAAAACCTTGGCTGGGATGATGCAGGTGGGGCTGGTCCTGCTTGGAGCAGGGGGCTGCACTAGATGCGGGTCCCTTCCCACCCCCATTTTCTATGATACTATGACTTGACAGAGCCTTCTTCTCCGGCTGGCCCTTCTTCCCTTTCTCCCAGATACCAGAAAGGGAGGAGAAGGGAGGATCACAGCCCCATTGAAAGCAGCGGCAAAACTCGCCTGGATTTCAACAGAAGGAAAAGCTGCCAAGAGGCTGATCTGGGACCCGAGACAGGCACACATGTACAGCCCCTGCTCACACGCACGCCCTCGCCTCCTGCCAGCCCAGCCCCAGGTTCAGCTAGCTTCTGGTTTCAACGCCAAGTCAGCTTCATGGCTTGCAGTTGCAGGAAAGCAGGTTTAGGTTGGATCTCAGGAAACATTTCTTCACTGTCAGAGCAGGGAGGCCGTGGAGGAGACGCCCAGGGAAGGGGTGGCCTCTCCATGCATGGAGGGGTTCAAGGAGAGCCATGGCTGGGGGATGATCGAGGCCTAACAATGCCTGCAGGCTTCTGGGCTTTACTAGTTGCTCCCTGTCTGCTACACATGTCGGGGGGTTTAAGTGTTCATCACCGGCATTGGGTGCTGGCTGCACCCCAGGCTGGGGATGGTGACTGGGCTGTGCCAATGCTCCTACTGGGACTTCCTGGCTAGAGGGTCTTGCCCCTCCACTCAGGGTCAGACTGATGCCACATTTGGGGTCAAGCAGGAAATTTACCCCCTGGTCAGACTTGTACAGACTGCGTGGATTTTGCCTTCCTCTGTATCCAGAGCGTGGCCTCTATCGGGGATCCATCCTTGGAGGTTTTCAAGACCCAGCTAGACCAAGCCTTGGCTGGTATGATGGAGTTGGGGCTGGTCCTGCTGGGAGCAAGGGTTGGACTAGATGTGACCTCCTGTGGTCCCTTCCAGCCCTCATTGTCTGTGAGTCTATGATACTATCTCTTGAGTGTATATTAACAACCTTTTATAGCAGCAGGACGCTGGCTGCCGTGGTCCCCTGCTTTCCCGGGGGCAGGTTCGGGTGAGGTCTGTGCTATGTCAGGGTTGATGGTAGTTTTGCTAAGAGTTTAGATAATTCCCAGATTCACAGAAGTTTAGGGCTGGAAGGGACCTCATGAGATCATTGGGTCCAGCCCCGTAATGGATTTGTACCGGGCTGGTTTGCAGAGGGCTGATCCTGCCTCAGGCAGGGTTTGCACTAGATGGGACCTCTGGAGCTCCTGTCCCACCCCACTCTCTTTATAAAGTCATAAAGCTGAGGCTAACGTCATGTAGCTGCGGTGCCGGGGAGCCGTGCCAAGAATGGATGCGAGCACAGGTGACCCCACTCTCCTTTCTCCCTAGTGGCCGACTGCCGAGCCCCGGCGGAGCTGGAGCACGGGTTCATCACGTTCGCCTCGAGGAGCAACCTCACCACCTACCGCTCCGTGATCTGGTACTCCTGCCATCGCCCCTACTACCGCTTGGCCCCCAACGTCACTGGTGAGGGCATCGGGCGAGGGGGGTTGGAGGGACTGTGTCTACACAAGTACGGGGTTGCAATGATCCGTGTGCAACACACTTACATGTGCTGGCACCCTGGCCACATCACGCAGCCACCCCTGGGAGGAAGGAGCTAGCTGGAAACAGAGGTTTCATCTGGGGTGTCTGTGCTGCTAAAGGCAGAGCCGGCTGCAGGCGGTCTCTGCAAAGGCGACCGCGTTACCCAGCAGGTCTACGTCTCGGCAGAGAAGATGCTGCCATCTCAATGCTCTTTGGCCCTCAGGCAGCGGCAGCAGCTGTTAACAAGCATCACTAGCCATGTCTAGTTACTAAATCCTGCCTGTACACAGCGCAGTCCTGTCCTCACGGGAAAGTGCCACAGCCTGAAGACAACAGGCCTCACTGATAGCAACACCCGGGCCACGTAATCCTTATCACTGCTTGTCTGCGTGCAAAGTTTCCCCCTTTGAGCCCATTGCAAAACCCTCCTGCGGGCGATTGGGAATGGCGAACGCCTGGTCCGTGCTTCTCGTGCAGCGGTGAGGCTGTAGCACTTGGCTTCCCAGGTCTCCCCGGCACCAGCTGGGCTGAATTAGCTCTGTGTCTTTAACCTGGCTTGGAGCAGTCTCCCCAGAGCCAGCTTCATGCCATACAGCCCCCACGTGCTGCTTTTTCAAGCCAGCTGGCGCCTCCATCCCTTCACCCTCTGCAGACCAGTATGTCAGGGTGTGTGATCTGCTCATCTCCCCGCTCCCAGCATGCAGACCCTGCTGTGCCCTGAGCAGCCCAGTGGCCCATGGAGATGGAGAAGAGGCAGGGACCTCCGGTAACTGCTTTGGATGGTCCGTGATGGATGCAGACTGCAGTGAGAGGTTTCCCAAACTGCTTCTGCCCATGGGCCGGGGCAGCTCACAAGGGCACAAGCCACATCTCCGAAGGCAGGACCTCTCCTTTGTGCTTGCCCCCATCCTTACGGTGTGATGACCTTGGAAGATGCTTCCTGCCGGAGCTCATCCATGCAGAAGTGAGAGCCACAGAGAGGGCTGGGGAAAGCAGAGGGCAGGGGAGGCTGCCACCTGGGCATCGCAAGGTGCTGCCCACAACAGCCACATGCCCCCTGCCTTCAGGAAGAGCTGCAGGTGCCCGCTAGAGCATGGGACCCCACATCACAGATCCAACCATGGAGGTATCAAGCGGTGCCAGCTGTAAGACCTGCTAGTGGAGGCTAGGGCTGGAGAGGCAACCTTTCCATGCAGCCCTTCTGCCCTCGGACAAACACTCTGGTTCTGCCTTTGCGGACGTCTATGCCAGTCCAGCTACCCAAGTGCGACCCAGGGCCCTAGGATTTATCATGACACATGATAGACCTGTGTTTAGGAAGGGCTGACCCCTGTATGGGCACAGCGCAGACCCTCCAGCCATGCACACGCAAACCCTGGTGCGTCCAGGCCATGGGGCTAACATCTTGCTGTCTTCCAGGCATATACACCTGCGATGAGAATGGGATCTGGAGGAGCGAGGAGCTGGGAACCAAGCTGCCGTCCTGTCGACCAGGTACCTGGAAAGCTCTGGAGATGCCCTCTCACAGCCACTTGTGCTGCATGCTGGGGGATGTAGGGGCATGGGGCGAGGGTGGGAGGCGTTGGCCCAGTTCTGCGGGCTGCGCTCCAGGCCTGGAGCGATGTGGTGCCTCCCCAATAGACCGATGCCCACCTCAAAGGCTACGCTGCAGAGACACAAACCTCATCCCCAGGGAAAAAGCCACCTCTTTGCCCTGTAGGACCCAGCAGTGCGTGCTGTAGAGATGGGGGGGAAGTCACAAAAGTGGGGCCCGGAGTCCTGAATCCCCCAAAGTGCATAGGCATTGAGATCACGGGTGTCAGCTAAGACCTGTTGCTAAGGCACAGGGCCCAAATCCAGCCCCTGGGGTCACTAGATGTGTCAGGAACATTGCACTGCTGCAATTTGGCCCCAAAGCACTATGAATCCACCCCCAAGTCCAGCCAAAACCAGGTAGCCAGCAGAGGCAGGTTTTTCAATACAGGCCCAGCCCCATGGTGCTGGAGAAACTTTTATAGAGCAGGCATCAAGGTGCTTTTCCAACATCCACTCACTTGTATGGGCCTTGCCCCCATTTCACAGCTGGAGACACTGAGACTGAGAGATTCAGGGGTGGGCCCAAGACCCCAGGAGAGGGCAGTGTCAAAGGAGAGATTGGTGTTAAGGGCTCACTTGTTCCTACCCTAGTGTGTTGGCTTGCAAGACCTCAGGGCCAAGCTGCTGCACGAGGGCATCTTTGTGCTAGAGCCTGGCAAATAGCCCCGTCCTGCCCCTCTCTGAGTGGCAGGCCTGTTCTGGCCAAGAGGAAGCCGGTTTGAGTTACAAACCAGCTGAGCTGGCTGTTCCTGCTCTACACACATGCATGTGCACTCTGTGGTGTGTGCAGCTTTTTTGTCGCCAGCAAAATCACCTCTCAGCAAATGCCAAAGGGCAAGAGGCGTACCCTGTTCCCATCCCGTGCCAGTGCCAGGGAGAGTGGTCCGGCCCTTTGGAAAGAAGCCAGGCTGGAAAGAGAAAGTTCCCTGCAAGTTTCTGCACGGTCACACTCACACACACTTCCCATTGCACATGCAGGTCCCCTGCCTAGGAGACACATCCTGCATGGAGAGGTCAGGCTCTTTCCAGGGATACCTCTGCCTGTTTGTCTTCCCGGTCCCCAGGCCAAGAGGCTTGGGGGTAGCAGATATTGGAAGCAAGTGCCCAAAAAGCATGACCTCCCTGCCGGCCTCCCCCTCTCCCTGCTTCCCAGTCACCCCAGCAGTCCGATAGCATTCCCTGTGGTGGACCCCCAGGCTTGGGCTCGCATGTAGGATGCCCGCCAAAGGATCTGGAAGTATCTGAAGCCCCAGGCTGGGGTGGAGGATGCTTGCTGGTAGCAGGGCCACATAGGGTTCTTGAATGATTCAAATGGATTTGGACCTGATCTGGCTCATTTGACCTGGGACATGAACATTTTTCCTTCAAAATAATTTTTTAAAAAAAAATTCCCTGTGGACTCCCAAGCAAAGGGAGCCGGGGGGCATTTCCCAAATGCAGGTTTCGGCCATACGCCACTGAATTCCCAAGCCCCAACCATGCCATAGCCCATCTGGCAGAGGCAATCCTGCTCCACCGGGGTGGAGGTGAGGCAGGAGGAAGGGCTGCATGGAGGGAGGCTTGTCCTCCATCACCCACTGCTGGGTCTCCTCTATGCTCAGACAAGAAGGCCGGGTACCTGGGGCCTGCATCTGGCAGAAATTAATGGCTATGAACACTTGCTCAGCTCCCCATTGCACCAGAGCAGAGTCACCCCCATGCAGGATTCC